CAGAAGTGCTAAGGGCAGAGGACGGCTGATACCCCGGCTCCGTCAGTCAGCCCGATTTTCCTCCCCCTTTTGGCGCTAGGCCCTCAGTGGACTGGATGATGCCTACCCACGTTGGGGAGGGCCATTTACTTCACTCAGTCTACCAGTTCAAACGCTAATCTTTTTCTGAAGACGCCCTCACAGACACACCCTAAATAACTTTTAACCAGCTCTCTGGGCACCCAGTGATCTAGTCAAGTTGACACATAAAGTTAACTATCACAAACACTAACATTTATTAAGCACTGACTGTATCTCAGGCACATGCTAAGTACTTTACTGATGCTGTCTTATCCTTAGAGATATGTATGCATGAACATTACATAGAAAAATTGTAGTATTAGGTGACTTCTAGGGCCTCTTCCAATGATAAGACTCTTTCATGTGGTGTGGCATTAGGGAAACCAGGATATCGAGGTGGGGCTTAGAAACTTTAACACTTAGAAGTAAAAATGAAAATAACATTCATTACTAGTTACCTTTCTGTGGACTAGGAACTGTGCTAAGTACCTTACAAATATTTTCCCTCTTGTTCCTGAATAATACCCTATGAGATAGGTACTACTACTCACCCCATTTTCAAATGAGGAAACTGAGGCACAGGGAGGTTGAATGGCTTCTCTAAGAAGCAGAGTTAGCATTCAGGCATGTGTACTCAAAAGCCTATGCTCTTAACACAGCCATGCTTCCAGAGGGATGGCAGAGCCTCCCATCGATTGTGGTCTGGATGCCTGAGAAGGTACCATTCTATAAGCCACAGGGATTTGGGTGAGCTTGGGGTGGGGGGAGAAGAAGGGGACAGCATTGTCATAGCAAGATCCACAGTGAGGAGGGGTGGCACCCATTGCAGCTGGGGCTGGGGAAGGTTCTGGAGGCAATTCTACAGGAGGCTCTGAGCCCAGCAGGAGGCCAACGCCCCACTCCTTCCAGCAGCACTCAGTAAACCTCAGCTTTCCTCCCTCCGTCTCTCCCTGGGGCAGGCAGGACAGGATGTTCTCAGAGTTCTAGCAGCAGGACTATTCCTTGGGAACAGGCAGCAGAGCTGTGATTAGGGTTTAAAAGTCTGTGGTTGCCAGGCAAAGGCCCTGCCTTACCTTTTATAGCCGTCTGGCTTGAAACGTCATAAGTATTTTAAAACTTTTGCTTTTTTCCCCTCTCATCAGCTTTATGACCCTGAGCACATTCTTCCTTTTCTTCCCATTGCTCATTTTACCAGCCTCTGGAACAAGCCTAAAACTCACTTGTGCGCCTGGAAGGCTTTCTGGTGAGTTGTAAGACGATTCACTCTGGTTTGGTTGGGCAGAATGGGTGGGGACATTTCTTTTCTTGGGTTTCATTTGCTTAAGTTGCTGTCACCTCCTCTGCCTGAATCTATCATTTCGCTGGAAGCTAGGATGAGGTATTCGGTGGAAGGATGCACAGGGGCATGGGTACATGTCTGGCATCTGCCATTAAGGGCCACATGACCTGGGGCATGTGACTTGGCCTCTGTGAGACTTGATGTTCTCATCTGCAAAATGGGAGAGAGCTATTACCTGCCTCAAAGGATTTGGTGGGAGGGTGGAGTGAGCATGCTGTGCTATCTGTCCCAATAACCTACCTAGCAGGACAACCACAGGCCAGGGATAAGGGTATTTGGATCATACCATCAGGGCTTATGAAGCCAGACATTTCTCCCTAGGTAAGCTGGGAGGTAGAAGGAAAAGAGAGCTTATTGTAGCTGAAAGATTCAGTGTGTGGAGGTTGTTAAGATAGTAGAATCCAAGCTTTCTAGGATTGCAAGAGACCCTGGAAATCCTCTAAGACTGAGACTAAGGCAATTACGTAGCAGAAGAGTGAAAAAGAGACAGGGTCAGGGTGACCTCCACAAAGCAGCACACATGAAGAGATTCGATGGGATCGCCTGGCAGCCAAGCATAGGATAGGGCTGGGTGGAGGGTGTAGGATTGGGCGGGGCGTGAGTCTGGTCAATACTCAGGGAGAACAGTTACCCCATTCACGTTGAGTCAGTTCCTCATCCCCCCTGGAGGACACACTGGTGACTTCAGAAACTAGACAGATTTGGTCCCAGTTGCCCTAACCTGGCTATAACCACCCCATGTTTCCTGTATGGTCTGGCACAGAAACCACAGAAAAGGTTTGCAGATCTGGGCCCTGATGATTCCAGGGCACAGCTGCTCTGTCCTCTTTGGACAAGGTAGAGAAGTCAGGGCTGGGAACCCATGGGCCGCTGTTAGGAAGAAAACATCAACAACCAAAATTACAGCCTGGCAGAACTGCCTCCATCTGCAAGTAACTGGGCAATTACCTGTCATTAAGGTCTCGTTAATTTGTTTTCTGAGGGTTACAGTACAGTAAGGGGTGGGTGTACCCCACCCTGCTTATCACCAAGGTGTTGAAGATAAAGTATTTTTCATGAATCAAGGTGAAACTCTTCCATCTGATTAAATATAATAGCCTTATTTATCCAACTTTATGAGGTCTTAAAAGCCAAGTCCTTTTATCTTTGGAGCACAGGGAGGGATGGCAGGCTTTTAATTTTGAGTCCTGTTTCAGGGAAAGAAGAGGAAGCACCAGGAAGGGTGAAGGCACCAGGCAGAATTCAGACCACTTTTTTAGAAAGTGTGGTCTGTGGGTGGATTTCCCTTGCATCTGAATCACTTGCAATTAACCATGCAGTTTCCTGGGGTCTGCTTCAGTCCTGAGCCAGAAATTTCCCAGGTGATTCTTATGAATATTCAGGTCTGAAAATCTCAGGTAGAACTGGAAAGCCTTCTGGGATTTTAATGATGTTGACAAATGAGGTATGCAGACCATCCAAAACACCATTTCAGCCCAGAAAATCTTTCCCTTTGGCATTAAGCTAGGTTTACCCTTTATCCATCTACAGCTGGTGGTACAAACAGAAAAATTTCTGGCCCAAAGGCTAGAATTCAGAGAAGAAAGTTTGTATGTAAACCAACCCGGAGACCATCGAAGTCTGATGTCTTAGTTTCAGCTCCCTGGCTTCAGGTGTTATAAAATGCTGACTTACAGCCCCTTTATCTACTGATAACAAAGGTGAACATAAGTGATCTCCAGAAATGGTTCACACGTGGCTCCCAGGTTCTTGAAAAACCACAAGTGATTGGCAAATGTTTCGTTGCAGACAAAAACTCAAAAAACAAACAGCTCATTTCCTTCAAGAGCTCCCCACAGCAGCGGCTGCTAGCTAGCCTGAGTGCAGTAAGGAAGGTGGAAGTCTTCCTCTCCCTGCCCCCACATATTCTTCCTCTTTCTGATGTCAGATGTTTAACATTTCAAGGAACTGCCAGACTGTGTTCCAAAGTTTATTCATCAGCAGTGTATGAGAGTTCTTATTTACATTCTCATTAACTTATTATATTTTTGATTTTAGCAACCTTAAAGGGTTTGCATAGATATTTCACTGTTTTTGATTCGCATGTCTATAGAGGCGAATGATGCTGAGCACTGTTTCATGCCCTTACTGGCCATTTGTGTATCTGCTCCGGAGAAATAAATGTCTATTGAGATCCTTTGCCCATTTTTAAATTGGATTATTTGCCTTTTTATTATTGAGTTGTAGGAGTTCTTTACATGTTTTAGATCAAGTGTCTTATTAAGTATATGATTTGCAAAATGTATCCCATTCTTTGGGTTATCTTTCCCTATCCTGATGTCCTTTGATATACAAAAGTTTTAAATATTGACGATGGTCAATTTTGTTGCTTATGGCTCACACATTGAAAAACACTGCTAAAATGCAACTTGAAGCTCTGGAAGCTTTGCCGCTTATAAGTATGGCAGAGATTTGTAAGTGCCCTTTGACAGGAAATTTCGGACCTGGGGTTTCATTCCCCAGTCCCAGCCAGTGCTGGCTCCTTCTCGCGGCTGGATGCACAGAGGCCCAGGGGACTGCTCCGTGTTTACAGCCCCTCCCACTCCTGAGGTCTACCACAATAGAGCAGCTGAAATGACAGTTTGGAAATGTCCTTTATTGTGAAAACTCAATGGCCTTTGTCTCTGGGATTTGAAATTTTGATGCGAATATTGGCAGCCAAGAGTTCAGAAGAAGGGGAGGGGCCGGGAGAAGAAACCCCGCCATTGATTTCCACAGTGAGTCATCTCAGCTCTATGTTGTCTTGGTTTTCTCGTCTCACCCACAAAATGGGTGAAGATACCTCCAGCGCCCCATCTCAGTGGGGTACTATGAAGATGAATTACTAGTCTGTATTTGCTACTGAGGCACAAGGTATTTTAACAATAATAAATGATTTAACAGCAGGGAGGGTGAGGTTACCAAAGCAAGCATGGGGAGGGGCAGGACGGAGAGAGGCTGTGAGCTTGGGGGTGGGGGTGGGGCGGGGGGCTGCAGTCTAGAGCGCCTGGACCCAGACACAGGTTTCTATTCTTAGACATGAGACTGTGTGATGTCCCCAAAATGGCTTGGGTTATTCCATCTGAATTCAGCATTGCTCTATTGAGCGCTTCCTAGATGACTTCTGCTATAAGAAATGATGACAATCTTTTTTGGAAATAAGCTACATATACATTAAAACAATTAGAAACAATGCAAGACATTATAATCAAAAGCTGGATTAAATACAACAAGTGTCAAGAAGAATAGATGGTGGTGAAGAGCGGTGTTCCGTTATGAATCCCAGGCCTACCATGCACTAGTGTGGGTGCCACTCTGCCTCAGTTTCTCCTCTGATTGCAACTGTTTGTTTACAGGGCTTAGAATAGCTCTGGCTGCGGTGCCTTAGTGGGTTGAGCGGTGGCCTGCAAACCGGCAGCTGGCCAGGTTGATTCCTAGTCAGGGCACGTGACTGAGTTGTGAGATAGGTCTCCGGTTGGGGGTGTGTAAGAGGCAACCTATTGACTTTTCTCTCCTCCTCTTCCTCTCGCCCCTCCCCTCTCTCTAGAAATGAATAAATCAAATCTTTAAAAGAAAAAAAAGGGCTTAGAGTAACGGTTAGCACACAGGAGGCACTCATATGAGTGCCATAGGAGGAGGGTTTTGTCAGGCACCCCTGCTGGTTATGCAAGCCTGGCCAAGTTGCCACCCTCGGTTATCCTATCTGTCGCTCAGAAGGTGCCTGTGGGGACGAAGGGAGACAATGTAAATCGTGTAGCACCTACAAATGGTAAGCATTCGCTAAATGAGTAATCATTACTGTCATATTACTATTACCTGCTCTGGCGGAGGAGAAAGGGGTGCGCTCATGGCTTAGTTAAATCAGCAGCCTTCTTTGGAAGCTAGAATATGAGGTGGGCAGGAAGGTATTGAAAGGATTCAGGTGAGCAGAGAAGAACGCGGGATCAAAGAAAGACAGAAGCCTGAGGATGGACTGCCCTCTGAAAGGCGGAAAGGGACGGGGCCTTCATTTTTTCTCTGGCCAGAAGCCTGGCCCGCTGTATCTGGTAGGGCAGTGGCGGCTGTTTACCTCCAACCCACCCCCTTGCACAATCTCGACTTTCACCTTCCCAGTCAGCGGGTGCAGGATTCAGCAGGGCTGGAGCGGACCCTCCCTCCCTGAGGAATGTGGGTCCCGCGTCCCGGGCTGGCCAGACCCAGCGCGTACCTCCGCCCCCGCTGTCAGAAGCCTGGAGCCCCGCTGTCTTCACCCTCCGCCAGGATCCTGTTTCAAAGTCACCTGAAAGCCATTTCCTTCCTCATCCGCCCCTCCCCCGTAATCACCTGGAGCTTGCTTTTCGCCTGGGGCAGTGTCTTTTGAGGAGGGGGTATTTGTTTTTAACGAGAATTCTATAAGCACCGTTTACTACACACTGTAGTCTATACCCCGGTATCAAATGTGCCCAGTGGCTCTAATATCAGTGTCTCTTTCCTCCTTCTTCGGACTTAGCAATAACGCCTAACCACTGGGGCCTCTTCCAGGGGCCCCACCCTGGTTCTCTTGTCTTGTGTTGGGGCAGCGACTTTTCCCCAGGACGTTTACTGATGAATTATTTCAGGTTTTTAAGTGGATGCTCTTGCTCAAAATCCAGCCTGCTCCTGTCCCCTCCCCCCACTTCCAGGTGTGTCTCTATGCCCAAATGATTACACACAGACAGACAGACAGATGTCTGTCTTCGTTTTACGAAAAATGGGGTCCTCTACTACCATAGATTTCTGCATCTTTTTTCCTCACCTAACAGTCTCTTGGTGGACTCCCTCCAAGTAATCGGCTTCATCTCTTGTCAGCTTCTCACGGGCTTGGATTTACCTCTGTAAAGGGTCACGGGAACCGAGTCCTGGTGAGGATTTCAAGACGTGCATCCTGACTCAAGAGCCGAGGTGACCTGCTCTGGTGGGTTCAGGACCCCCAAATCGGATCCCAACAAGTACCTCACCTGAGAAGGCCCCTTCCCAGTACGTGCAATGGGGGACGTTTGGGCTGTCTGGAGCACTTTCGGGAGGCGGTGGTGATATGAGGATGTGACAACCGGTCGCCCTCCACCATGTGCGTCTTTGTACCTTGGAGCATCTGGGCTGCCCCGGAGCGCCTGGCGCATTCGGGACCGACACCGTGGGGCTCCGCGCCCGCCCCACCTGCGGGCGTCCGCCGCGCGCCAGCTCCGCCGCGGCCGCCGCCGCAGCCTTTACCCCCGGCTACAGCTCGCAGCGCCGGGAAGCTTCCCAGGCCCCCACCGAGTCGCCAATTGCTGGATTCCAGCAGCGGCCCGAGTCTCCACCCACTGGAAAAATTCCTGCTCCGTCCCTCCCTCTCTCCTCCCTCCCGCCGCAGCCCGGGCTCAGCCCCGACTTCCTGCCGGGCGCTGGGAAGCCGCGCGCGGGCTGGGGGTCTGCGGGGGCCGCGCTCGCAGTGGGCCGCGTCCCTGGCTGAGTCCCGGGCCGCCAAAGGGCTGGCAGTGGGCGGGAGCAGCCGGCAGCCTCAGCCCCTTCCGAGAGCGACTTTCAAACTCGCGCCCGCGTCGCCGCCGCCGCCGCCGCCGCACCTGGGAAGCCTCGCGCGCCGTGCGTGCCGGACCCGGCGGGCGGCCGCCGCTCGGTGAGTGCCCTTTGGTTCTCCCCTCCCGCTCTGCCTGTGCAGCGGGCGGAGCGGCCGTGCCCAGAGTCACTCCGGCGCCCCCACCTTCCCGGGACACCCGCCTAGCCCCCTGCGGGCTGACTCCCGGCGGCCGCGGAAGGCCCGGGGCTGCGTTGGCTCCTCCCAGGCGACCCTCCCGGCTCAGGGCTGGAGAGCGGGAGGCTCCGGCGAGGAGACGTTTTCGGTCCTTCAGCCCCCACCCCGGAAACAAAAGGAGTGAACGCGCTGGGTGGCTCCGAGAGGCTCAGTTTGAAACCCGGGAAGCCCGCGAGGCTGCGCCAACCCACCCCACTGCGCGCGCTCTCTCCCGGGGTCCGGTCCTGGCCCCGGACTGTGGGCCCGGCGGGCCGTACTCTCCTGGGAAGGTTCCGAGCCTCTGGTCCTGGGAGCCTGAGAGGCGCCAGCAGCCTGTTCCGGATTGTGCCACACGGTACTGGCTCTTGGGATCTCAGCTCATGCCACGGAGGGATTAGAGCGGAGCCCCAAGTGGGGTGTCCGGGAGCAAAAACCACTGAGGCCACTGCCTGCCACCTTGACCTCGCCCACTCCTCAAATCGGTTTGGTTCTTTTGCTCCATATTCTCAGCCCTTTGGTTCAGAAAGCTAGGATAAGGAGTGCAAACTTGAAAATTCAAGGAAATTTTAGATACCTACTTTTACTCTTTGGAGGGCTTTTGAACAAAACGGAAGAACGGACCGGGAAATATAATGGTGGGAGGCTGGAGAAGTGTGGCCCCGAGGTTGGAGGGGTGGGGGCGGTGTTAATGGCTGTTGTACCGTCTCCGAAGACACTAGTTAAACTGTTGGCAAATGAGGGGGCCTGGCCTCTGCTCTGGGGCCCCCAGGAGGCGATCCAGACCGCAACACCCGACAGGGAATCCTGGGGTTGGGGGTTCCCAGTCTCTCCAGCCCTGCCGCGGCAAGCAGCCCAATCACTCCGACCTTGCTCAAGAAATAATAAGCTGGGAGAGTAGTGACAGCCCCCAGAGGGCTCCCTGCTGAGCAAATCACCTGCCTCCCGTCCGGAAAGTGCCTTTCCAGCCCCTCCTCTGCTGTACTGGGAGTGGAATCTGCGTGACTTAGCTAGGAGTACCTCACCTCAACCATCCCCAGCGGAAAACCTAGGGAGCAAGAACCAAAAGGCATACCCCTTCTCTCTGCTCTTCACCCCATTTGCTGCTGCCCTGGGACACTGCATCTCCTCCTACAGCTGCTGATAATACTTTTGCTCCCCCTGCTGCCTCTACTCCCTTAGGGGGAAGGGTTGGACACTCCCTGGCCTACCTGGGTACCTTGTTCTGGGGATGGGGCAGACCTAATCCTAGAAACAGAAAGGGGCTTACGTAAGAACTTGAGGGCTTTTCTACTGCCTGTATTAGAAGTGTAGCAACAGGAGAGTGGAAAGCCCCAGCTTTGGTGCCCAGCACAGGATGTTGCCTGAGATTTAGTTCTGGCTCTACTGCATGGCATCAAAGGTTGGTAGAGTCTCATGGGCTGGAAGGTGTCTCCAACTAGCCTGCTCCACTCACATGAAGGCAGCAGAGCCTGGAGATGTGAGGTGATTTGAGCCTGGTCCCTGTTGGCCAAATAGGGACCATCACTCAGATCTCTCCACTCTGTCTAATCCATGCTCCCCACCTCCCACCCATGACCTAGGCAGGTCACATATCTTTTCTGACTCAGTTTTCACATGAGTAAAGTGGGGTACGTGCCTGCTCTTCGTCATAGAGGTTTGGGTGAGCCACCTGTGTGGAAAGTGCTCCATAAACTCCCATGCAAAATAAAGGGCTCAGCTGTGGCTCTGAGGGGCCCTCTGGAGCTTTATAATTTTCTGGGTTCATCTCACATGTGCCACCAGGAAGGGTAGATACCAGGAGCCAATGGTGAAAGTTTACACCCCTGGCCTGTAGTATCTCTGCTGCAGGGTAAACATTTGCCTTACCAAATCCCAGGGTCACTGTTTACACTGGAGGAGGCCAAAGGCCATGGCCTGAGGGATGATGGGTTGGAGCGGGGAAAGGACTGTGTTCCAGTGTATGGCTCACCCCTTTACCTCTGCCTCTCTCTGAGAGCCTCGTGCCGGCTCTGGCTCCGGAGTGGAGGGTTGCTACAAGCCCCGGCTGGAGCTGGCCTAGAGGGGTTAACTGTGGAGCCATCTAAGCTATTTTCTGCTGTGTTAGGGGCAGAGGGGGCTCTGGGCTTTGGGAGTGTGTTGCCTCTGCAGCTGCACTGAGAGTTGTTTTCAGCTCCTCCTTTGCCCCCCTCCCCCATCCCAGGCTGCCCCTCTGGCCCAGGCCACTGCTCTGTTCCGCCTCTCAGCCCAGCTGCGGGTCCAAAGGCCTTTGTTCCGGCCTGCCCTCCCCAGCAGAAGCCCTCAGGCCGGGGCCGTGGCAGCTGGAAATCACTGGCCGGCAGGGAGGTTGTACTGGAGTGTGGAGGACCTGGCAGACCCTCATTTCCTCTAGCACGGCTCATCTTGGGGCCCCCAGCTTGCCTCCAGCCAGATTCTCTCACTATCTTTTCTCATCCCCTTTGTTCCCCTGAGTGGGCGGATCATCCTCTATTTCTTCCTATACTCCTGCCTCTTAGTTCTGTTTTAAAGCATTCATTCATTGGACAGCTTTACTGTATATGAGTGCTAGGCACAGGAGACACAGCAGTAATACATACATACATACATACATACACAAATACACACACACACACACAACAATAATTGACCTATGGAGTTGAGTTCTAGTGAGAGAAGCTGACAGCAGGATAAATAATTGAAATAGAGAGCATTTTAGTGATAAGCAGAAAAATATGATCGGGAAGGTGGATGTGAATCATGGAAGGGATGAGGTGATGTTTTAGGTGGGGTTGTCTGGGAAGCGACCGGAGGAAGGTATGTTTGAGGGAATTCCTGAAGGAGACATTTCCCTTCATCTCTGATTTCCTTTTCTTGAAACCCTGTTCGAGCTACATGCTGTGGAACTGGGCACACTTGGGTTCAAATCCAAGCCTGGCAGCTTACTAGTTGTAGTGCTACACTCCTTTGTGCCTGTGTTTCTTGCATGTAAAATAAAGTTAGTCATCATACTTAACCACGTGTGGAATTGTGAAGATGAACAGTGAGACAGGTGAAGTATGTTAAATGCTTAGCACAGCCTATACAGGTGTTCAATAAATGATAGTCTGGTTATTTCTCCATCCAAATTCTGCAGGGGTAGCCTAAGATATGTAATGCTAAGGACTGTATGTGGGAAGCTTCTATTTCAATTTTTAGGCAGGAATGGGGGATCAGAGGGAGGTGAAAATAGAAATCCTAGTTATTGCAGACTTTCTGTTTAGTGAGGTTTTTCTCCATGACCCTAGACTCCTGATAGTTGAAGATGTGGGACATGCAGGTGTGTGCTGCTTCCCCTGGTGACTGGCGGGGCTGTAGGCAGCCCTGACCCTCCCTTGCTCTGGAGTTCCCTCTGTTTCCAACCAGCCCTAATGAATCACACCTTAGTGTCTGGCCTCTCCACTCTGCCTCACACTGGGAAGGCTATCTACCCTCTCCACCCCCACCCCCAACTCCAGTGTCTATTAGATAAGTTTGCCTGTGTGTGAGGAGGAGAAGAGGGTGGGAGGATGTGGGAGGGGCTGGAGAGCTGGGCAGATGGCAGGAGGGAGCTGTTCCAGGGAGCCCGTGGAGGCGGCTAGAGGATTCTGATGAAGGCTCAGAGGCAGCCTCAAAAAAAAGTTGTAGGAAGGGTCCTCATGGACCAGAATTTAGAGTGACAGAACGGATAGACATCCAATGTCAGAGTCTAGCTCTCTGCTCAATTCTGAGCAGCTGTCAACCACTTCCCCTCTCAGCCAGAGGCGTGACCTCAACAGGGAGGAGCTCATCTAAAGCTGCAGTGAGCGGTTTCCTGGGGGCACTGCCCTGGCTGGACAGTGGAGGGTGGGGCCCAGGGAAGTGGTCATCAGCCTGACCACTCCCCTGGAGTGCCCCTGCTGTACTCTGCAGGCCAGCCAGGCAGGCCCTGTGGTGAAGGAACTTTCAGGGCCTGCCTGTTGGTGCATGGAGGCAGCTAAAGCTAGATATAATCTGGCCTCAGAGGAAGTTGCAAAGAGGGCCCTGAACAGCCCCAGACACTTTAGTCACAGCAGAAAAAATAAGACGAAGTTGATTAGCCTGAGATTGTAAGGAGGTGCATCTAGAGATGCTGGCAACCTGTTTGAGGATCAGTCTCTCTGGGATAAAGCCTGGCCTGTCCGTCAGCTGAGTCTTGACTGTGTTCTTATTTTGGTTAAAAGCTCTCTGAGGGCAGGAACTCTGCTTGATTCCTCTTTGTTCCCACAGAGCATCCAGAACAGTAGTAAAAGTAAGACAGGGTATGCTGAGCTTGCACTGGCGTCCTATCCTGAGAGGAATCAGCTTGGTAGTTTCAGCTACTCCAGCTTTTGCTCCACAAAGTTAGGGGGAGGAAGGCAGTGGTGGCAGGGGAGGAAGGCAGTGGTGGCAGGGGGGGAAGGCAGTGGTGGCAGGGGGAGGAAGGCATTGGTGGCAGGGGGAGGAAGGCAGTGGTGGCAGGGGGAGGAAGGCAGTGGTGGCAGGGGGAGGAAGGCATTGGTGGCAGGGGGAGGAAGGCAGTGGTGGCAGGGGGAGGAAGGCATTGGTGGCAGGGGGAGGAAGGCATTGGTGGCAGGGGGAGGAAGGCAGTGGTGGCAGGGGGAGGAAGGCAGTGGTGGCAGGGGAGGAAGGCAGTGGTGGCAGGGGGAGGAAGGCGGTGGTGGCAGGGGGGGGAAGGCAGTGGTGGCAGGGGGGAGGAAGGCAGTGGTGGTGGTCAACCCAGCCCCTGGGGCCTGTTGCCACATGGGTATGCAAGCTAAGGGAGAGAGGGGCTTTTTGTAGTCCTCTTGCTGCCCTCTGGGGAGGGAGCCTTGGTTTGAGATCAAAGAATAGTTTTTTTAAGGACTCTTAAACCC